TCTGCAAAGAGCAGTCAGTGCTCTTAACTGTTGAGCCATCTCTCCAGTCCCATCTTTTCTTTCCTTTTTTTTTTATGGGGCTTTTTGCTCCTCTAACATTCCCCCCTCTGAAGAGGTAACCCAACAGTTTTTTGCTCCTTGCCCTCCAAGGTTGACTAAGTTCCAGGGGACTATTGAACATCTCTGAAAATGTCCTGTAACTGTGGTAAGTCACTTGTCCTCTTGTTCAGGGAGGCCATGGAGACCTAACCAGATGGATTTGAACCAGTGTCCAGCATACAAAGAGGAGGGTCAACTCAGAGAAACATTTCCTTCATGCTTCCAAGTGAAGCCAGCCACGGTCAAGCAGGACTTTTGACTGATCTTCACATAGGCGGAACTGGTAAAAGAAAGGAGCCAGGGACTCCTCCCAAACCTATGTAACCCCTGAGGAACAGATTCTCAAATGACCTTAAGAGTAAAAATAAATTGGTTTATTTGGGCCAACTGTATGGTCTTAAACACCCAAAAGGAAAATATAACCAAGAATTAAAGTGATTAGTATATTTCTTTAAGAGTTCAAGGGATTACATTTCCCATACATTAGGCTTAAGTCTATATAAAATGTTATTTAGACAATTATTTCTCATTGATGATTTTGTTTCTAAGCAGAAAGTGCTGCTCAGATGTAAGACTTCAAATCTTGGTCTGCAGCTAAGAGAGACAACCCACTATTGTTCTAAAATGATGGCTAAATTTGTTTCCCCCCCTTTCTAGAAGCCTTTGAGAGGGAACTGACACTGATTCTAGCCACTCTGACAGCTATCAAAGTGCCTGAAAACAAATCCTGTTCATCACTCTTGAGTCCAGCCTTGGCAGACAAAAGAAAAATGAGGAGGAACCCAATAGAGGGATGCTTTTAGAAGCTCTCATCAAAAAATCCCAGTGGACTCTGATATGAACATTTGAAATTTGCCCTGTTCTGACTTTTTTCTGGTTCTCTGTCTAGAACTTGTAATGCTAACTATTCTTTCCTTTACTTCTACTTTACATCTCCTATTCACCAGTCAAGGACTTTCTTTTCACTCTACAGATAAGGGCTATGCAATTTGGGATACTCCAATTGCCTCACCCTGCGTCCCTGTTCATCATGGAAGAAGCCAGAGCAGTCTGTGTCCTGATTCCCTATCGGCAATTTGGGTAACCTCTTCAGAGGATGGTGTGATAAAAATAGGAGGTAGGTATTGGCTAGGCAGTTAGGGTAAAAAGACCCCAAAGAAAAGTAGCCAGTTTTTTGGCTTAAAGTCAAACTGTCTTTGGGCCTCTTAGCAACATACTCTGTTCCAAAGGCCAAAAATGTCCAAAGTATTTGGGAGCTTGTATCTAATTCAATGTACTTTTTAAAAACTCCAGACTCTTTTATGTGGCATTTGAAGTTTCCAAAAGCCAACTTGTCCTAGTTTGTTCTCTATTGCTGTGACAAAATACTCTGACCACTACCAACTCGGGGAGGAAAGGGTTTATTTAGCTTATATATCCCAGGTCACAGTTCATCCAGGAGCCCAAGGTAGGAACTCAGGGTAGGAACCTGGAGGCAGGAGCTGGAGCACAGGCCATGGAGGAACACTGCTTACTGGCTTGCTCCCTGCCCCCTTCTCAGTCTTCTTTCTTATGCAACACAGGACCACCTGCCCAGTGGTGGCACCACCCACAGTGGGCTGGGCCCTTCCACCATCAAGAAGATGCCGCTCAGACATGGCCACAGGCCAGTCCAATAAAGGAAATTCCCCAATTGAGGCTCCCTCAACCTAGGTGTGTCAAGTTGACAGTAAAGCTATCCAGCACACAAGCCACAGCTAGTGAGCACTCTCTATTGTCTTCACACCTGTATCCTACATATTGTTCTAAATCCTACCTTGGTATCTTTGCTTATTCTGTAAGTGTGCTATGCACTTGTTCTTCTTTTGTGGGTAATTAGTTTCTGCTGATTTCCAAGTTCTAGGTCAAGAATTTTATTTTAAAAGGTACCTCATCTGTTGTCTCATTTGAACTTTATAGCACTTGTCCTAACATCTGTCTTGACACTCAATTAATTCTGATTTCTTTGGTTACTTAATGTAATAGTTACTTTCCTTATCATTGTGACCAAATACCTGATAAGAAGCAAAGCAAGAGAGGAAGGCTTGATCTTGTCTCATGGTTTGAAAGGCCATCATGGTGGGAAAGATAAGGCAGCTTGAGGCAGTGGTGGCAGAAGCATGGGGCTGCTCGCTCACATCTTGCCAGACCAAGAGGCAGAGAGAAACAGGGCAATGAATGCACGCTCATTTTTTTTTTTCTCTTAGTATTCTATCTAGGACCTCAGTCCATGGGATGCTGCCACCTACATTCAGGACAGGTCTTCCTCCTCCAGTTAACCATCCCTAAAAATGCCCTCCTAGACACATACCAAGAGGCACCATACAAACGTGACAGGCGTTTCTTAATCCAGTAAAGCTGAAAATTAAAAGTAACAATTCCATGTAACTATGTATTTGTATCTGGCTTCAAAAATAAAATGCCAACTTCTCCAGAGCAGGGATTGTCCTACATTTCTTTGTATTCCACAGTGCTTTTTACAAAAATGCACTAAGCATTAGCTGAAAACAGAAAATATTACAGCAAACAGCATCAATATTTTCTTCTTCACCCTTCCATTTAAAAATATTTATTATTTTTTTATTTTGTGTGTATGAGTGTATTGCCTGCATGGATGTGAGTGCACCCGTGTCATGCAGTGCTGTGGAGGTCAGAGAAGGCTTCGGATTTCCCTGGAACTGGAGTTAAGGACGGTTCGTAGCCGCCATGTGGGTGCTGGGAATTGAACCTGGGTCTTCTGCAAGAGCAGTCAGTGCTCTTAACCACTGAGCCATCTCTCTAGCCCCCTTCCATTTTCATAGAGGCTTTATGGCCTCTCATTCACTTTTCTGTGGGGTCTTGCAGCAGGAAACTGGTGTTTGCCTTCTTAGAGGTTTTCTGTGGTGTGCTACCTTTGTCTCTGTTACGCTTTGCCTCTCAGCTTCTCTCTGTTGGTTGTCTTGATTCCTCCCTTGTCAGACAAGAAGCTACCAGAAAAGTGGGTCTCCTGAGAGGAATAGGTGAGGTTTGAAAACACAATGGACAGAACCCATTGGATAGGATGGATTAGGATGTAGACAAAAGATCAGCACATGTTGATGACCTTTCATTACGGTGGATAATCTTTTAGATATTGTTGGTTCATGCAGATGACACTTTGCCATTAATAGTGATATTACATGAACTTTATTTGGGCTATAGTAAAATATCAAAATGTTTTGCAGCAGATAATGTCAGTAATACCCTTGATCACATTTTTTTCTTTCAAACAGAAAAGATATTAAAAAAATATATAGTGTGTGTTTGTGTGTGTGTGTCTCTCTCTGTGTGTGTAGGCACATGTCATGGTGCACATGTGGAGATCAGAGAACAAGTCTACAGAGTTGATTCTCTTGCCACCTGTGGGATCTGGGGATATGGCTCAGGTTGTGAGACATGAGCACAAGTGCCATCTTTTTGGCCCTCAAATAGGAAAAATTTATACTTTCAAATGATTTCTCATAATTTTAAGAGATGTATATATTCAGCAAATTTGTCTTCAGTATTCAGTTTTCTTAGTACAGGGAGGGAGATCTACATGTTGGGCTGGGAATCTGGGTTATTGTTTTCTATGTATAGGTCTAAATCTAGAAGTCTTGACATGCACATAGTGCTTAGGGATATATATTTCTCCTTCTTGTACACTCCCATACACATTTTATTTATGTGTAGAAGGAAAGATGTGACATGTCTTCAATCAGTTGCCTAAAACAGTAACATCCAAGAAGTCCCCATGAAAGAAAATTTCATTTTGTCACAGTGGCATTAAGCTAAATTCCCTTGGTGGGAAACACAGAGCCACAGAGAACCTGCTCCTGAGAAAGTAGCAAACGATTAAGTTCCTTTAAACCAACGTTCCTCTGGAGGGAGTGCTGCTAGGTGGATTCTAATCTTCCAAGTTCCCCACTAGATGTCCATGGTAGGTCTACCTGGGATCCCTAAGTCTGTCTCTCTCTTTATATATACACATATACATCTCAAGATATACAGATATGTGAGTGTGCTTCTTGTATAACTTTTTTCATTTTTTTAACCTTGCTATAAACTTTTATGTGAAATGGCACTTCTGAGATTCCGGCGGTGTCTATGAAACTTTAAAATTATCAGTCATGAAAGAAAAAGGGTTTTTCTATAATAATATTAGGAATTGGATTGGATTGGAAGTAGAAAAGACCTCCCTTTTGAGTTTTGGTTGGCAAAAATGGGAGAACAATGGTATGGGTACAGGGTTTAATTTAGAAAGTTAGGACTATGATACTTCAGAAAGGCAACAACCCTTTATGGTCAGCAGAAAGTATGGTGAGTGGAGCGAGATGATAAAAGTCAAGGAAGAGAGTACAGGAAGTGGACAGAAAGTGGGTACTCATGGGGCCTGGTTAGTTTCTCCCAGTTATTGTCTTCCTTTTCTTCCTCCCCTTTTTAGTCTATGGGTTTATTACTAAGGGTCCTCCAGAATCTTATGGAGAGACTCAAGTTTTAGTCAGTTACATATACCGAGTATTAATAATTCTGCTGTCTTGGCAGAATTTGTGTGTGACTCTTAGAAAGCTCCTGACCATAGTGTATATAGGGTTCTCCTATCACCAAGTTTTCAGTTTCCTTTACACCAGATAGATTTTAGGACTGGCGATTTTGACAAAAGAAAGAAGGTTAGTCTGAGACAGATCTCAGGAGTTAAATGGTCATCGCACAGTGCCTCTCATTCTTCTAGACCATAATATACTATGCGTCCATCTCTCATGGAGAACCCTAAATCATGGAAACTAAGAACCCTAAATCATGGAAACTAAGAAACTGTTCTGGTTCCAGAGAAGAACAGAGACTATGTCCTTGTGAACAATTGTTTGGGGGGTATGAGAACATACCTCTCCAGCACTATAACTCCGGAGTCTCTGGAGGTGCTGTCGATGGGTCAGATGACTGGGAAGACGGCCATTCTGAAGAGGGATTCGGGGATCAATGAAAGTGGTAGCTCGACTGTTGTGGTCCACAAAGAAAGACTGCAGACAGACAGAGAAAGTGTTCCGTGAGAGATGGAGTTGATTATAAGGGTATTTCCAGACACAGTCACTGTTTTAGTTTCTTTTCCTGTTGCTCTGACAAAATTCTCTGACAAAAGCAACTGATGGGAGAAAGGGTTAATTGTGGCTCGCAGTTCGAGGGTACAATCCATCATAGTGGGAAAGTCAGGCAGCAAGAGCTTGAAGTGGTGACATTGCACCTGCAATCAGGGAACAGAGAGCAGTGAGTGTATGCCATTTCTCAGCACCTTCTCCACTTATACAGTCCAGGATCCCAGCCAGGGAAGGGTGTCACACAGTGGGTGGGTCCTCCCACCTCAATGAAGGCAATCAAGATAATCTTCCACAGGCAAGCCCAGAGGTCATGTCCCAGGTGATTCTAGATTCGGTCAAGATGATAATTAACACTGACCATCTCAGTCACCATACTTGCTTCTGGCCCTCCCTCTTCTCTACCATTTTAAATCTACTCAAAACTCATCTACTTAGATGAGGACTAAGAGGGTCTCAGCATCCGTTTGCTCAATGGTTAAATGAAGAAAACACCCAAAATTATCTTAAAGACACAATCTAAAGCGATAACTACCAAAGTATTGGTATTTCCCCCTAGTCTTTTCTTTTTCCCGTGGCCGAATATGAAGATCTATGCATTCTTTAGGTGGATCTTAGAATCTACAATTTTGTGATGAGAAATTTTCACATAATTTCATGAGAACTTCTCCAAGTTATTAAAATTCTTCTAACACAAAATTAAATGGGTGCAAAGTGCAAAGTTTGATAGTTGTATAACTTCAGTATCCTTTGTTGCATGTTTAAATTTTTGCGGTTTTAAAAGAATGCTTCAATAAACATTCTTGCACATAATGTTTTGCGGCATGTCTAATTACTGTATGCATATAATAAAGTTATTTTTTAAATTTAAATTAAAACTCATAAAAAGAAAAACTTTGTAAACAAAATCTTTAGTATTACTGGATCAATTATTCATTCTCTTTAGAACAAAATATAATTTGGAAGGAAGACATGCTAACCTAAGGTAACCTAAATCAGTTCTAGTTTTAGATAGTTTTAATGTCATTGGTAGAAAATTTTACATAGATTTGGGAATTATTATTTGGAGATAAAATTTCAATTATTAGATATTTTAAACAAGTCTTTTAAAGATCTCTATGAAAAGTCACACAAGTTTTACTATGGACTTTGTTTATCTGGGAGACTTTTTTATTACTGCTTCAGTTTTGCTGCTAGTTATAGATTTGTTTAAATTATTTATTTCATCTTGGTTTAATTTTCATGTGTTGCATGCATCTAGAAATTCATCCATTTCTTTTAGACTTTTCCATTCTTTTAATCATTGAAAAAATTTTTAAATAACTACATGATTAGAAGAAGCATTTCACTATAGATTTAACATATTCAGTAACACACTACAGAGCAAGAGCACATCCTTTTCACAAGTGGGTGCAAGTTTCTAGGTTCACAATTGAGTTAATACAGTTATACAATATTGAACTCAGTATAAGCCCTGTAAGACATAAAATTGAATGAGTCTTTTAACCTTTAAAAAAGATCTCCATTTCATTTTAGAATATATTGTTCCTTGCAGAAAGACTCATTGTTTTTGCTTCTAACACTGAGATGTTGGTGCATGCATCTCTAATCTGTATGTATTTGATTATTACTAGTCATAATCGGCTGCACTTGGATCCTTAGCACCTGTGTATGTCTATAAAGTCCATCGGGTAGATTTCAGTGGTAATGTTTATCACCTCTACTAATTAGCATGATGTAAATTTCCATGCTTCCTCCTCAAATATAATACAATTTAAAATGAAATGGAGAGTGTGTGTGTGTGTGTATCACACAGAACATCCCAAACCATCTTATTCGACTATATACCCACTTCCCAGATGGCACCCTCCCATAGCCTCCCTCCCACCACTAGAGCCCTTATACTCTGATATCCCTGCTACTGTCTGCTGTGTTGTTGGCACCCCCAGCCATTCCCCACTACTTGCCCTTCTGGTGAATCTAGTCAGCCTATCTAGAGATCTTTGTTTTAGGAGGGTCAGGTGTTCCTCTTCTAGCAGCAATCAGTTGTCAGTACTCTTTTAGATATTTTAGATAAGATTGGGGTGTGCTGTTCATTTTCCCAGTTCTATGCTAGGTTACTATCTGGGAGTCCCTTTGGCCACCCTGGCCAACAACTCAAAAGAAGGTATCTCCTTTCTGGCATTGCCTTTAGCTATGCAAATGGACTCTTAAGAAACTATGTTGATGTCTTTAATCTTTGGTTATACTTTCCTTTTTGGATGTTTAAGGCCATACAGTTGGCCCAGATAAACCAATTTATTTTTACTCTTAAGGTTGTTTGAGGATCCGTTCCTTGGGGGCACATGGGCTTTGGAGGAGCCCCTAGCTCCTTTCTTTTACCCGTTCTGCCTATGTGAAGATAAGTCAAGGGTCCTGCTGGACCATGGTTTGCTTCGCTTGGAAGCATGAAGTGATTCCTCTGTGTTGATCTCCTCTTTGTAGACTGGACACTGGTTCAAGTCCATCTCATGGGGTCTCCTCAGCCTCTGTGATCAAGAGGACAGGTGACCCACCACAATTAAAGGACATTTTGAGAGATGCTCATAGTCCCATGGAAGTAGTCGACCTAGGAAGGCAAGGAGCAAAAACTGTCCTTTATGTCCCTCTGAACAAATTAGTATAGTCCTCAAAGTATGTCTGTTAAACATCCAAGAAGGTTAGTTACACCAGTTTGGTACTTTTAATTATTGTGTGTCATGTAGATAAATCTTGGGCAAAGACCAATTGTTCTCAGATAAACCTTACCTAGACATATATTTCTTGATCTACTATGTATAATTTGTCAGTAGGTTGTAGGAGTAATATGGCTTCCTCTGTTTTTCAAAACTAGCTAGACATTATTTATCTTTTGCATTGTCTCACCCCTCCATCATGGTTTTCCCACTTAAGGTGCCCCCATTTCCCCCCTTTCTCCCTTACTAATACCCTTCTCCTATGGTCCTACCTCTCTTGAGCTCCTTCTTTCCATTTATCCCCTAGGTTCCTTGTATACTCTTCCA